AAAAATTAAATGAAACTTTCTCTTTTTAGGATATGAATAATTTCTATGAGCAGTATAAGTCAATTGAACCTTACCTAAAGAAGAAGACAGAGGTTGAATATGGAAAGGAACAATACTTACAGTCCATTGAGGACAGGAAGAAGTTGGTGAGCAAAATAAGACACCTTTACAGGCATTCTGTAGGCTTGTTATTCCATGCACTCCTAAATATATAGCATATTTTAGAGAAATATTTAACACCTATTTTGTGAAGATAGTTATTTTTTGAGTAGCACTCTGAATTATTTTGCCATTGTTGTTGTCGTAGGATGGGTTGTACGAGTGTATCCTGTGTGCATGTTGTAGCACTGCCTGCCCTAGTTACTGGTGGAATGGAGACAAGTATCTAGGACCAGCTGTTCTAATGCAGGCCTACCGCTGGATGATTGACTCACGGGTTAGTTAATGAATCTGGCACATTTAAGAATGAGGACAACCCGCTCATTTGTACAGCATTATGCAAACATGAGAGCACTGGGCTACCTAAGATGTGATCATCACTAACAGTATTTTGCTATTGGTATTGCTTCCTGGCAGGAGTAATGGCTAAGTGTTTTCTTTTTTGTTTGCACATGTTTGAGGATGATTTGTAGGGGGCTCTGGTGGAAGAGAGTTGGGGGGTGGGTGGCATTAAGTAGAGAGCAAGCCTGAATGTGAGCAATTTTTCATAAGAGTGACTCGAAATCAGAGCTAACCAACGTATTAGTTACGTATTAATTTAAATTTGCCCAAAAATTATTAATGTGGGCTTTACTTAGCACTTGCATGAATATTGGGGTTTAACGTGACAAAATCATTTCTTGTTAATGGCTTTTAATAATTATTTGAACACCATTTCAGGATGACTACACTGAAGAAAGGTTGGCCAAACTGGATTCTGATCCATTCAAAGTGTACAGGTGTCACACCATTATGAACTGCACAAAGACTTGTCCCAAGGTAGGTCACTCGTATCCACCTCTAGAATGCAATGTACAAATTGCATTCAGGNATTTAAGGCAAATACTATGCTTCAGAGGTGAAAACAGCGTGTGAAAGTATGAAAACCTTAAATTTTTACATGTCACTAACTTTGTTTCAAACTTTTGATGAAATGCCAAGCTGCAAAGCTACATTCTTTTCTTTATAATGTTTTATTTTAAAAATGTTGATATGCAACAAGGAAAAGTTGGTGTCACTAGTTATCTACAAATAAGATCGCTGTATTGTAAGGTATTAGTAGTGTAATTGATCATAGCTCAAGATCGCACCACGTACCATGAGATCTTGAACCACAAAAATTAAATGATACCGTGATTTCCAAGGAGAAGCATGTACATTGTAGGGTAACCCCAACCAAACGTCAAACTTGAAAACTAACAGATAACAGGTGTTAAAATGTCTAAGCTCTGCCTATTGCGAGTTTTCAGTATGCTACTTTTTTAAAAAATACTGTTTTTCAGTAGTTTTAACGCAGATTAAAAGACATCAACATTGTACCTTTGTTTTGTGTTTTAATAAATTCTTTAAACCATTGGTCTGTATTTTGTACTTACATGTACATTTATCAGCTTATCCAATTTAATAATAACTGCACATCACATTACTTGTGATGCACATCTCTTGTATTCTGTCTCATTCATGTACAATTCAATGAATTGAAAACTTGGGCTCTGCACTCAGTTTGCTTTTGTTGCTGATTGCAGTCCATGCTCAGCTCTCTTTTTGCCTCAAAAAGCCTGTGAAGGAGGCAGCTTTTGATACTCTTTATGTCTCGTTGCTAGCTTTTTTCCCATGAATTAGTGTTGGTGAATAATAAACAGGCAAACCCTTAAGTTGTAGCATACCAGACAATTTTTTTTTATCCATCATTAATCTCCTCAGAACTTTATCTAGCTCTCTGCACGCACTGCAGGCCTATGATGCTCCCTCATCATAGGCCTGCAGTGCGTGCAGAGAGCTAGATAATAAAGCTCTGAGGAGATAATTTTATAATGAATGAAAAAACACAACAAAACATATGTCTTCATGCAAAAAGTTTTGAGAAATGTGTTTGAACCAGGGGCACTTAAACAATCAGACATTTTAATTCCAAACAATGTTGGATGTAAAATGATCGATCATTTAGCTGGCAAGAATTAACTCTAGTCCTTGTTTAGATTTAAAATAAGTTCTGGACATTAACAACATCACTGTACACAAAAAACTTCACCGTCCACCATTTCTCTACAGTCAAGTTCACGGTCAAAACAAGCTGACCATAATTTGTTGACTTTGCAAGTGTATGTGTGCAGCCATTATAACAGCAGATATTTCCAGTCTCCGTGACAGCAAGAAACTCCCAGTGAATTAAGGGTTAAGATGTGCGAAGAAGCCTTCCTGAATGCAGTTTCATGTGCAACATGTTTAGTAGAAGCTCCACAAAACAATACGCATTTGTCCCAGACATTTCAACTTCTTGGTGCCAACCAAAAGGATTGCATCCTTTGGGAATGAGATTCCAGGTAGACTGACTTTAAATCAACAGAATCCCAGTCAGTCAGCAGTTACTGAACATGAACTTTCTTTCTCCCTGACAGAACTGATCTTCTGGAAGCCACTCTATCCCAAGCTGCAAAATAATATTATGACTGAAAAAATTGTTGAAAACTAAGGAAACTACATGACTGTACACTCTATCTGATGCACCTGCAGGGAATCACAGTAGTTGTATTCCATGAAATATCCAGTCCAAGATGATGAATACAACTACTATGATTCCCTGCATACATGTCTCACAAAGGGAATTGGCCATTAAATTCATTAATGATTGGAAACAAAAACATTATTATTTAAGAAGGAATCCACCAGAAGTTTGAGTAACAAGTGGACAAAAACTTAGTACCAAGATTATTTGCATCATATTGCAAACTTCAGTATGACTGTTTTAAATATCTTCTCAAAAGAAATCATTGCTAACAACACTAACTGTCGAAGACAAATTTTGAAGTTCATATGAAACACTTGAAAGTAGGTGTGAAATGACACTGATGATGAAATTTTACCTGTGTTTGCTCCATAATTTCTCTCAACTTTGAAGTGTAGTTTCTCAAGTTTCCATGGGAAATTGTTTTTGGTGTTATTTCAGGCAACTATTTATATATTTAGCTTTCAGGAAAAGCATACAGGATTTTATTATACTTAATATTATTTTGGCACAAGATATTTTTGTCCACTAAAAACTGAACATGCTTGATGTCCTATTGAATTTCGTCTTAAACAACCGTGTTGCAATTCACAATGTTGGGACTCAATAAATGTTCAATACTTGTTGGGCAGATGCTCTAGTGCTTTGCAAGGGTATTTGCATAGGTCAGCCTTGTGAGCCGAGCATTAACAGTTATTTAAACTTTATGCCAGTACGACGAAATGGCTTTCCACCATAACAACATTTGCACACATTACTAGCAGGAGTTTTGTTTAGCTTACAATGCCATAGTCCGAGTGACCATTGATGTCTCATACTTGCTATACATGCAACAACACACACTGCAAATACAACGTTGTGATTTTAACATTTATATTTATTTCCATTCACTGTAGGTTCCTTCTACGATAATCTGCAAGAAAAAGAACTTAAATTAAGAACAGTCCCACTTGCTAGCATTCCTTTAGCTACATTAGGTTGAACTTTACAATTCCTGAATGCACAATTTTAGGGTGGTTCAAAACAGTTTCCAACACTTAGATTTGGATGGGTCATTATAACCACTCTTTATTACTTGATGCTACAATCATGGTATGAAAAAACTGCCCAATCATTGGTGAACTAGTCAGCATCATTTTCATGGCAATAGGTTACCATAGCAACAGTATGACCTCCTAGAATCACCCTTAATTACAGCTTTAGCGGCCACCTTCAATTTTGGAAAATTTAAGGTGGCTCTGAACCCCATGTACAGAATTTTTTAAACTTTGCCAAAAGTTGTGTCTTATCATACATATCAAAAGTTGATAATATAAAAAAGTTTCACCGAGCTGTTTTTGAATTATAAGCCCCTAAAGCTGTAATTAAGGGTGTTTTTAGGAGGTCATACTGTTGCTATGGTAACCTGTTGTGTCACAAAAATGATGACAATGTGTTCACCAATGCTTGGACAGTTTTTTGATACCATGATTGTAGCATCAAGTGATAAAGAGTGGTTATAACAACCCATCCAAATATAAGAGATGGAAACTGTTTTGAGCCACCTTAAACATCCTCCCAATTTGTAATACAACAGCTTGAAATCAAAATCTAATTTGTTGTCAGTTGTTGAAGTGTACATGTATGCACTTTATCATCCAAAAAGAATATCTCGTAGCAGCTATACTTACCACATTACATCACTCTAACGGCCAAGTGACCACACAGGGTCAGGGGATGCTGTCACCCTACCCCTCTCCAAGGTTACAGTGAGGATGAAAAATCTATACTTGATTAGAAATCAGATAGTAACCATCTTTGCTCTGAAAATGGAATAGAATCACAAATTGGATTGCGCAGCTCAGCTAGCTGTGTTAAAACATTATTGGAATAAGATAGGGAAGCCTCCAAAATTTTCACACACACATAGCATGTTGCAGCTGCACCTAGAACAACAATAATTAATAGTTATAATTATACCTATAGCTTAAGTAAATAAAATATAACATTTCAGCTCTATACCCACATATTCAGGATTATATAGCTATACGGATCTATGGCTCTACGGCTCTATGGCTCTACGGCCTTACATGTGACTGTTTGTGTTTGAAACTTGCATAAATAGTTACAGTAATATTAATAAAATTAAAGCGTATGGCCGTAAAACACTACAAAAACTTCTACTGACATTTCAGTGTCGAAATTTGCACCAGGTACATGTATATTGTAATAAAGTCAGTAGTGAATCTTATTAATACACAATCAAGTTCTTTACCTGTTTTCCCAGCAGTGAACATTTAACTCATGCAACCTCCCTTCCACTGACATTACATGATAAGACCAAGGATTAGCCTGTTTGAAATACAGTTGAAAAAACCAATTAACTTATGCAGCAATGGAGATAAACATCACACTAACACACAGACATCTTTACCTTTTCTTCACTTTGTAAAATAGTAACTTGATTATTTGGNATTGGATTGCGCAGCTCAGCTAGCTGTGTTAAAACATTATTGGAACAAGATAGGGAAGCCTCTAAAATTTTCACACACACATAGCATGTTGCAGCTGCACCTAGAACAACAATAATTAATGGTTATAATTATACCTATAGCTTAGGTAGATAAAATATAACATTTCAGCTCTATACCCACATATTCAGGATTACATAGCTATACGGATCTATGGCTCTACGGCTCTACGGCTCTACGGCTCGGCCTTACATGTGACAGTTTGTGTTTGAAACATGCATAAATAGTTAATATTAATAAAAATTAAAGTGTATGGCCGTACAAGGCTACAAAAACTTCTACCGACATTTCAGTGTCGAAATTTGCGCCAGGTACATGTATATTGTAATAAAGTCAGTAGTGAATCTTATTAATACACAATCAAGTTCTTTACCTGTTTTCCCAGCAGTGAACATTTAACTCATGCAACCTCCCTTCCACTGACATTACATGATAAGACCAAGGATTAGCCTGTTTGAAATACAGTTGAAAAAACCAATTAACTTATGCAGCAATGGAGATAAACATCACACTAACACACAGACATCTTTACCTTTTCTTCACTTTGTAAAATAGTAACTTGATTATTTGGGATTTGAAGATGTTGCAGAGTTGTGTTGTAGACTGATGTTTGTCTATAATGTACATTTAGTGCTTCAACTGTTACAAACTGGACTTATCACAACCACAACAAATGAACGTGATATCTAGTAACCAAGGACTGCCAGTTTTTCATTCTAGTTTGTAGATAATATTTGGCTTTACATAGGGCTTTATCTACAAGCAGCATTTTGCGACTGCTTCTTAAAGGTTAACACTCATGCATTTCCTTTTCAACAATAAAAAAGCTTTTGTAGTGTACTTACAGTGTTCCTTGACTCACTCACTATTACCTCCCACCACTTCAAATTCTTACTTCACTCTGAAGGCATTCTGGGCACGCCATACCGTTCGGCATCCCCTCAGTAACCCACTGATACTCACAACTTTGCACTTCACCATTCGATGACACTCAATCAGCACTGGACTCTTGACTTCCATCAGAGACTACTCATAACCCAGACAATTTGTTATTAAAGCATTCAGTACTCCTATTGCAGCCTATTCCAGGCTCTCAGATCAGGATAAACAGGTAAAATGGGCAGGTGTATAAAAGAAACCAGCATACAGAAACACTCTTGTTGGCAATTTATATTATTCCTTTTTTTTCTGACATCTTTCCTACAATCTGAGAGCCTGCAATGGACTGTTCATTTCTCACAGTCATGTGGTAGCACAAAGTCTGACTCTTGGTGCTGCGCTCTCATTACTTCAGGCATCATTCCGATCAAACCATCTCAATCACAGTTAGTCTTGTGCCAATCAATTTTCTACTTATTCTATTTCCAGTAGATCTTTAATTTAAAATGTTACATACTCTTCACTCTTACCACTTGGCGACACACATGAACACAATATTTACAAACTTTTATTGTTCTCTTCTTCTCAAAAGCTCAATCTCAGGTTAAGGATGGTAAATTCACACTTATTTAAAGGTAACTTGAATGTTTATAATGTATACTGTACATATTTGTAAACATCGTGAGTTCTGTGGTTGCTACAACATGTAAATGTTGCAACTCATCACATAAAAATGCAAAAGGAGTTTGAGACAGTGTAATTGTCAGTCTCTAAGCTAATAACTTCATTACTTGCTACAAGTCCTTTATTCAATTAATGTTCTTTTCCACAGTTCTCTATCAGCACCACTCTCTCTAAAAAATACCAGTTAACAGTTCACTTTTCTTTTCCCTAACTGTATAAATTATAAGGTCAACCTTCACTGCCTAAAATGCATTATCATTCTGTCAGAGTCATTAGACAGTTCAGTTCTCAAACTCTCTCTCTTCTCATACACTGCTTCATATAAATGTCCCTGAATCAAATCCACTTCAATGTTCTCCGCAAGTCCTTTCTTCCACTGACAACTTGAATGAAACTATGAATATTGAATATTCACTGTTGTTATTAGACCAAAGTACCTATTAATTCAGTCAAAGTTCCGATATTATCAAGACAGAACATTCAGTACTACTGCTGGAAACAAGGACTATATTCCATTTCAATGACATCTCTTCCAATTGGCCGCACTTTGGCTATTGTTGGAAGGTTAACTACAGAGCACAAAGTATTGCTAACATAATAATACAGTGTTAATTTGCGAAAATAATTTTAAATCCTCTAGCCTGAGAAACAAAAATGTCACCATCGAAGAACTTCACTCAGTTCATGATTACCCCTTGGTATCAGGGGAGATTTGAGCTAAGAAATCTTATCCTCTTTAATTGATATCAACTTAGCACAATTCTACCAAATCAGAGACACTACTAATAATAGACACTAAAATGTGGTGGAACTTTGAAGTGATCTAGCTTTAGTAGATTTATGAACTTTTTGGTTTGATTCACAGAACTACATGTAGTAGATAAAAACATGAGGTACCCATGGAGAGAGTTGTCCAGATGTTACTAATAAAATGTCCACTCATTAACACACTGTAAACAGGGTCTTTCTCACTTCTAAGGATATGTAGCAATACTCCAAAACAAGACCTGGAGTTAGCGATGTCATTGTGTAACAATGACTCATCCGGAGTTTCAAATTCAGTAGCCATTTTGCTTTCAAACAAAAAACCACCATCTAAAAGGTTTCTAAAATTTACAGTGAATGCTCTTATCCACAAATAGAGAGAAAATCCTACCCCGGATATTCAACGGCGTCCTTGTCTGTTAGCCATCATGTTAGCGGCAGCACCTGATGGATTCCCCATGTTCATCATGCTCTGCATCATGGTGTTGTAAGCCGCCGACGCGTTGTATGGCAGATTTTGACGACTTGCATTACTCCATGAGCCCATTCCGTACATGTCAAATCCTATGCCACCCCATCCCCCAGGGATGGAGTTTGGAGATGGCACAGGTTGCATGTCTGCTGGGGAGGGCATGTGCGTATTTTTTGCTGACTTTGGCTCAGCAAAGTTCACATTGAGCAGATTTGGTCCCAAGCGGTGATTCTGGGACTGGACTTTCTTAGCAACTTCTCCTGAAGCAAATGTAACAAATGAAATTCCACGCATAGGTTTTGGAATGTAAACATCAATCACTTCACCAAACTTGCTAAAATAATCCAGAAGATCTCCCTCAGATGTTGAATCAGGAAGACGCCCAACAAATAGCTTCTTTGGCATGAACTCTTGCTGAGAAAACAAGAACAATAACATTGGCAATAACTCAAATGATAACACTGTCAGCATAGCACTTCAGTATTTGACCTTACGTGATCAACAATTTAGTCTATGATAAAAAGAATTTTTATTATTGACCTCCTGACTCGTTCAAAATTTGTACGTCTACATTTCAGTTAATACTAAGGTACACTGTTCATATTTACCTGAATTACATGTACTTTTTTCTTAAAAGTTGTTCAAATGAAAACAAGAAAAACAGTGGTTCAACCAATAGTACTGAAAATGTAAACACAACAATAGAAAAATGATTTGTGCAATGTTCACTACGTCCAAACAACAAATTTCTCCCTTTAGGTTAGTGTATGTGGCCCATTTTCTTTAGCAGTATTCTCATCTTAGAAGAGAATTAATAATCCTACAGCTTGCAAAAGTCAAGTTTTTTATTCTCATACATGTAACATACCTACTGTACTTGAATTTGAACAACACAGTAAGGAGAAAATAAATCATTTTCTTGTTTCTCACCTTACATCGTGGCAGTCTCACTTCACAAAGGCGGCCTTGAATGCGATGAACCTGAGACAACACTGTTTTAGCCACTTCTGGGTCCCTAAAATTAACAAACCCAAATCCTCTAGACTTGCTACTGCCATAATCCATTTTTACCTGCCAAGTAAAGAGAATCACACTAAGTTCATTAAACTTATAAATAATAAATAAACTGATTAAACAACAACAAAATAATGATAAATGATCGAAATTTGGCACAGCAAGTAAAAATCTTGGGATTGTAACTTTTTCCTCATCTGTTCAAACTTGCTCAACATCACACAGGGGTTTCAATAACATTTTCAGCTGGGAGGCAACTGGTTTTTGTGCATATGGGCAGGTAAAACATTTTTAACTGGACTTTTTTTTATATGAAAAATGTTCCTCTGGATGGTCATACTTGTCCTCACAGCTGGTCAATTTACCCAGTGCACAGCCCCTAATGAAACGGTCCCTGATTATGAGCATGCAAATGCTCAAAAAATTAACTACATGTACAAGTACAAATGAGCTAGTATGGTCTGTGTAATTACTGTAAATGTACCTCAGCCATAACCACTTCACCAAACTTTTGAAAATATTCCTTCATGTCTTCTGCAGTGGCTTTCCAGGGAAGCCCCAAGACAATAAGGTCTCCTAACCCATCCTCTGGAGAAGAGATCTTGGTCATTTTAGATTCTGGCTCTTTGACCGTGTTAGGCGACTCTTCTATTTTCCTTTTAGTAGTACCATCTGCAAGAATGGAAATAATGAACTGTTGTTTCCAAGAAAGTGGGTGACCTGAATCTATGTGGTTCAGTCACTTGGGAGATTCTTCAATGAGATGGGAGTTTGGTTTATTCAGACTGCTTCTCATAAAATCAGACATGTGGCCAAGAAAAACAATTAGCTGGCTCAGTTTGCTTTTCCAGTCCTTACACCTTAAAATTGCCCACATGTTTGTTTTCTAGTGACATTTTGATTATCTCTTCGAGTGCACCCCAAAAGATACTTTGACAGCGAAAAATAGTGGTGTTTCTTCAAGAACACCCTAATCGAAACCAAAATCTTTGATTTTATACCCCTATGTGAGACCATGTGAATCCCTGACATTTTCATATGGGAGTCCCCCCTACTCCCCCTCCACCACCCTCCCGGACTCTTCGCAGCAAAATCCCTGCAGAAACAGAAATTTCTAGTTAAGCTAAGTTCAGGTGACAAGCAAATATAAATATATAATTATTCTAAAAAAAAGCATAAACTGAGGTTTTGCTATCTCTCCGCCGTATCGCCACTGATATGAATGTAAATAACGTTTATAAGCTCGTCTATTACACAGACACAGCAAACTTACAAAACTGCCATTGTACCGTCGAATCATGCACTTACCATTTTTTTGCACCACAACATACAAATGGCAGCCCCATCCCTCATCAGCTGGCGGGCAGAGCATGTTGTCCAACAAGCGAATTCCTCGCCAGCTGTCTGTCTCGGGATTTTTATACCTTAATCCACAAGCCCCGGGAAATTGAGCTTGCAACGTCGAGAGCAAGATCGCTCCGTCCGACTCTGTGGGAAGTTCGATGGCTGGAAGCGACTCGTCTTCGGTGACTCGAACGTATTGAGCCATTTTAGGTTCTTCCGAAAGTAGCCTCTCGATGCTTAAGATCAGTTGTGAGTCGATTTTGCTGCCTGTTTACCCTCAATCCCAAAGAAAAAACTACATTTACGGACAAGTGCACCTCGACCACCAGCTGTACAAAAATGGCGACCTCGCTGCCTTTCCCAGAGTGCACCGCTTCTAATTTTGCAATCACGGCCATCCTTCCCCTCGTGGATGAGGTATGATTTGGTTCCACTTTTCGAAAAGGTCGGGGAACTATACCCCGATAGCGCCGAGGGGTGTAAGATCATCAGTTCAGTCGTATAATTCTTGTATTTGTTTTATTTTTAGTTTTGTAGTAGTTTATATACAAATTTTTCATTAATATTTAGCGTTTTCACAATTTACAGTCATTTGTATAATAACCCAAATTATAATCCATCAACTATTTTCGCTCGTGCGCGATTGGTCTAAACGCGTCACGTGACCAAATACTCCCCAGCTAAAACTGGGGAATATTCGAGGTTATTTTTTTCTCAAGCTTCTGAGCGGGCCGGAATCCTAAATCCTCGAATTTGATTGGCTAATCAAGCGCGCGTGACCGGTCCAGCTTTTTGCGATACGACCTAGATACGGCCCACCACAGGCGTCCCAAGCGCAAAATACCGTAGTTTATGCGACAGCTTGTGTATATAGAGAATTGTATTGGAAAATCACCGATCGTAACAAAAATTGTGTAAATAACTATCTCATTTGAAATAAAGTTTTCCTACCTCAAATGTGTCGCGTACTTGTCTCTTGTGCAGATTTTAAAGCCATTCTGACGCCGTTCAGTGAAGTTATTGGAAGCCATTGTTTCTCCTTCTAAAAGAATGGAACTTTCCATTCTTTTAGAAGAAGAGAGGCGGTTTCGAATAACTTCACCAAACGGCGATAGAAAAGTCTGATTTCAAGTGATCTTAGTGGCAGCGACTGACAGAAATTGTTTTTGTTGTAAGCTTAAAACTTCAAACTTCGCACCAAATTTCACACCACAAAAACAAATTTTGGAGATCTTAACTAGTGAAATCAATGCAACTAACATAAAGTAGTTCGAAAAAAATCTGTTCTTTAATACATCTTAGGCTTCTTCATTCGTTCTATGGTAAAGATTTTACTCGCTTCGAGTAGAAACAACAAAGCACACAGATCGACAGACTGACGGAATTTAATACCACTAGAGTGCCACATGTCTCGTCTTCAAAACTTTCTCAGTGCTGCTTCGCAGAGAACTCCATCACAAATTTCTTCTTCTTTTCTTGAGGCAGTATATAAATAATATTTGGCTATAATCATGTAGAGGTTTAAGCCAAGATGACGAGCGAAGTTATCTGTCACACCATATATTATTTCATTTTTATCGAGAGTGAGCCTATCTCCGTTTTTGGAGCTCCACGAATTAGTAAAGAGAGACAAAAAAAGCCCGGCGAGCTTCAGAACAGGTAACAAAAAGAGGTGACATTTATCATGTTCCTTGATTGAATCTCTAAAAAGTGTCGAATTTGTGGGTAGAATGTGATGAATTGTTTCGTATTGGAAAATGGTGAGTCTAGTGTCTTTTGTAACATTAAACGGAAGGCTATAAATGAGTTGTATTGTATGCTCCTTTAGACTGGCTTCTTTCATCCTTCGTTCAGCTGTAGGCGTAACGAATTTACTCTTAACAAAGAATTTAGTTGCTGATCTGCAAGAGAGTTTATCTTAAGATATCTTATCCTTCTCAGAACGTTTTTTCCAAAGGTTCAGGAATCGAAAGTACTGCTTTTTCACTGGATATCCCTTTGGCTTAGGCGGTAATTAATAACGATCGATCTCTTTCTTGCATGGAAGAAAAGCATGAAACCTAATATGGGAGGACAGATACCACGCCAAGCAAACAGCCGAGAATGATTAATATTGTGTTTTGATTAGAAGAGGCAACTCGTCGCCCTGAAAAGTAATCAAAAGAATTTACGTTAGCTCTAACAGAAGAAAGCATTGTACGTATGTATTTTTTTTTTAATCACTATAAACTTTTATTACGTTTTAGCCAGTACCTGGCCTTGTTAACCCTGAGAGACAAAGACTCCCTTCCCTGTCTGCTCGGTGAGAGACAAAAGGAACAAACTGGATCCCTCTCGTCTCTCACTGAGCAGAAAGAGAAGGGAAACTATCTCGCAGGGTAGGCCTTGTTGCAACTAGTGAAAAAGATTACGTAAGAGTCTACCTTCAGTTGTTGGTGCTTTTGTGTTTTCTGTTTTGTTTGTTGCTGTTACCATGATAGTTTTCACAGTGCTCTTAAGCTTGAGAACTTAAGAACCTATAAACAATATCCAGCAAGGAGACAAATAAAGATATGAACCCATCTCGATCCTCATTACTCCTCATGCTAGTCCAACAAAAGCCGATTAACTCGGGCCCAGCCATTCTTGTACCCATATTCCATTTCGCATCTTTTAGCAGGCAGTGCCTTGGCACAAGAAACGGGAGTAGTATGGGGACGAGAATGGAGCCCAGGACTCGGTCAGTCCGGCGCACTCAACCTCGCTAGCGCTTTCAGAACGGTAAAACGTCATATGCATGCCCGAGTTTAGATGCGCGATCCGCAACAAGCTCCAAGTTTGAAAATATGGCGGGAATTTCGTCGGTCGTGTAAACAAAACATGTTACGAACTTTACACGCTTTCCCAATCTTCTCGGCAGGCAGCAACATTTTATCGTCACCAATGGTAAGCTGGTGTATTGTTTTCGTGGGAAGTCAATTTTTTGGGACAAAATTAGCCTAAAGAAGGTTTCCGAACCCTTTATTTCCGCGCGGTATACAAGACATTTCTGGACGAAGACACATTTCTTTCCCACAAATACTCTTTACGTACATACTGCATCGACATAACGAGCACACCACTGAATATTTAAACAAGACAGCCCCACAGCAGGCAGGGGAAGCATAGTTTTTTAAACAGTGAAATGCAGAAAAAAACAATCATGATTTCTCATCCTCGGAGACACAGAGGCAGTTAGTTGTGGTGGAGTAAATAAATTCTGCAAATTTGAAGCGCAGAAAGTTACAAGTAAGGCGGAAAAAGTGCCTTGCTTGTAACTTTCGACGCCTCAATTTTTGGCGGATATAATTACTCCCACCTCAACTGACTGCCCCTGGGTCTCCGAGGATGTGCCTCCCCAAGTATAAAAAAAATCAACCGAGCGTCATCCTCGTGTGCCTTATTACAGGTCGCCGCTCTTTCCAACCATTGCAGCTTGCATTATTACCTGAGCCCGCAAGTAGGGCTAAAGATGAGCAGAAAGCTGCGCAGTACGTTTCTCCACTCTGAAGTTAGCTCTTCTAAGGCTTTCTCAAACAAACGATGTTGTACTACACTGCTTCAGGAACTTCGCGCAGTGCGCATACAGCACACATACAGTACCCACACATACTAACCGATATCTCGCAAAATCAGAGCTTGAGAATGACAAGTCTATAGGTCATTAGGGCCTGACATCTCGTACAATACACAACAGACGTTCTCCATCCTGCTGGTGAAATTTGTCAATCTTAGAAACAAAGCCATAGCCTGCAAATCAGCGTCCGCAGTTACTCGGCTCGCGTATAAGCCGTCATGGTAATTCTCGTAAGTCCTGAAGAGTGTTCTATCCGTATGTACTGACGCGACTTTCTCCATGACTGCCTCGAATGGTATTTTGAAGGTGATCTATGAGAAGCGTGTCAAGGACGACATTGCGTTGGCCTCCGGTAAAAGTCTCCAACAGATGGTTACGTTGTCACCTTCTGAGGCGTATGTCACGGGGGGCACGAATAAGCATAAAATCCAGCTGAAGACACAGGAAACAAAGTGATAAAAATGGTTTCGCTGATGCACGCTTCTTGAACTGTCAAGCGTTTGAACAGAATAGACTTTAAATGTAGAAGGAAAGGCTAATCTTTCCACTTTCGTTTCTCCAAGTACCCCTTCCAATTTGCTATTTCTATCGCAAAATTTTACACAGTACTGCTAAATTGCTTAACGGTTTTTCCCGGATAACCCTACACGCTGTAAAAACATTGCAATAAGAATATTTAGGCTTTTCCCGCCCAGACTGAATATTCTTTTGAACATTCCTATAAAACATTTCTCGCAAAGAAAGGATGTACACATCATCGGCTTAGACATTCCTTCTCCAGCCTGTGTAGCTGACGGCATTTCACAATTAAGCGATCGCGAATGCCGTGCATGTTTTAGAGGCGAAGCCTGTAACTTGATAGCTGAAGCAAAGTTCCCATGCAGTCGTCGTAACGTATGCGACTCCGCTCTTGACTAAGCTGGCGAAATCGAAGGGCACCTCACTTGCGACTGAAATCTCCCCATGCGCGCGCGCAAAAGCTCACCGGGGGAGGACTCTCACAATTAAAGGACGGGGGTGCTCATCGTACCTTTAAGGGGTTAAAAAGACGGTTTTAAAGGTCCACAGCGAGAGCGTTTGCGGTACCTTTGAGGGTATTGAGCCGAAAAAAATTTGGCAGTGAAATAACTTTCAAGCCACGCCCACAAACAGGACTTTGGTACCTCTTAGGGGTTTTTTGAAAAATTTTCGACGAGCGCCCCGTCTTTTGAACCCGTCCTCTCTCTCCTTTGCCTCCCTTGTTTGGAGAGAGAGCCTGAGATCGAGGTTGGCGCGCTATGCCTTGTTTCTCTAGCCCCTATTATAGCCGACAAGATTGGAAAATCAGCTTAGTTTGAGATTGTCAGTTTAATTACACTTGCTTGTGAATACGTCGTTCAAGACAATGCCGAAGGCTATTCGAAGAAAAATCTCCTTTTCCATTATTGTCCGGGCTTTTTAATCTCTTCAGACTCTTTACAATTGTGTCCTTCCAGGCAAAACTTTCTCTCGAAATGGGGAGCTAGAAAAAAAAAACTTATGTAACTAACAAAATAGAGAAATTCAGTTTATTTTAGGGGAGTCAAAATTGTATCATGTTGCTGCAACACAGGGTCAACATAGGTGAACTGTTAGTGAATTGTTTTTCAAAGAACCCGGTATTTTATTGGAGATTTATTCCAAACTAATCTATAGTATTTTGCATCTTGTTAATAGTGTTATTTTACTTAACAAATCAAAGCTTATATTTGCAAGCTGTATTTGAATCAACTGTCAAAAATTATGAAAAAATGGTTGTACAC